ATAGTTAGGATATTTAAAAGTAAAATTCATCATTATTAATAAATTATTTTTAATATTTAGCCAATGTTAAGCTCATTAATGCTAGCGGTAGCATTTTAAAGATCAATGCAAATATATGTTATATAGAACATTACTTGCTAGAAAAGGTATATAATTGCCCTAATTATTTAGTAATATACATATTTTTAGATGATGAAAACTCTGAGGTAGTGAGTAATAATGAAAAAGAGTTAAATGGCCATGAAATAATAAATTGGCACAGTCATTATATTTTACCCCACGAGGAAAAACAAACTATAAATTTTTTTTAAAATTTTGTTTCAAGTCGAGTTAAATGTTTTTGATATTAAAAAGATGTTCTAAAACCTGTGGGTCTAGTAATAAATGGGCACTGTCATTATACACTCCACTAGGAAAAAAAATTATGAAAATTTTTAAAACGTTGTTTTAAACCTAGTTAAATGTTTATGATACTAAAGAGGTGTTCTAAAACTTTTGGGCTTAGTAATAAATTAGCATTGCTATTATATTTTGGTCCACGAAGAAAAAAAATTATTAAAATTTTAAAAAATTATGTTTTTATCCTAGTTAAAAGTAGTGCTGTAAACGTTACTACAAAAAAGTGACGCGTTACCGTTACTCGTTACATATGAAAAAAGGAACGCGTTACCGTTACTCTTTCAAAAAAGTAACGGGCTACTCGTTACTTAAAAAAATTAAATATATACAAAAATAAGAACGTTTTATAAAAAAAAATATTAATATATTTAATTATAATATAAATAAAATTATACAAAAATAATATATTATAAGATAACATCTTTATGTAACAATTTTTTATTTATTTTTAGCAACTATTGATTTCAAAATTTTGATCAGACAAACAGGATCGTTTAGTGCTCAACACAGCTGGTTATAATGGAATGTTTAATAATGAAATTCTCTGTAAAATTTTGTTTATGGATAAATCCTGGCTACGCTACAATTTCATATATATTATTTAAACAAAGTTTTTTAAAATCACTATTTTTTATTCTTTAAATTTATTAACAATTATAGTCAAACCAATAGCAATACTAAAACAAGAAATAGAAGATATAAAAAAACTCAATATAATACTTTGAACCAAAGCCATTATTTTGTTAATCTTGGGTTTTTAATCTTGGTTCCCAGCCCAATACTGTAGTATAATTTATTTGCTTTTATTTAGGTAGTGCCGATCCACATATTTTTCACCGATCCGATCCAATATTGCTTCCAAACCGATCCAATACTGATACCAATTTGATATTTATATTGATTTTTCACCCCCCCCCCCCTCCCTTTGAACCAAATGTAATTAAGAAATCAATATTTTTTATACAAAAAATCAAATTGCGCATTACATTTTTTTTTATTTCTACAATTGAGACTCTAAAAAAACATATATTTGATAATATATCCATTTTATGTTGGTATGAATTATAAATTTTATTTAATATATAAAATTATAATATATTAGATTTTTTTAATAAATATGAGAGCCTCTAGATTTTCTGGCAATAAGCTTCTACGATATGGAATATCTATATCCCCTGCCGTACTGAAGGTAAACTCAGATGATTCCGCAGATAACGCATTTTGTAAAATTATCTTTGACTTTTGTAAAATATTTCCATAATTCAGATACCATATTTTTAAAAAAATTCTTTTATTTAAAGTATAAATAATAAAATTGGCGTTATTTAAAAAGATTTTTAAAATAAATAAAACTTTGGGTGTTCCTTTCTATTTTTATAAAAAAACTTTTAAAATACTATAAATCTATTTTAAAAAAGAATAAAATTTAGAGGGTGTTGTGCATTTCATTGTTTAAAAAAAAATTATCTAGAAAATATTATAATAATGTAAAATAAATATACATAACATAAAATAACAAAAAAAAAGAAAAGTAAATGATCGGATCGGTTTTTACAGGTATCGGCCCGATCCGATATTTTGGAAACACTAAATATTGGTGCCGATCCTATCCGATATTTAATATCGGCAAAGCCCTACTTATATTTTAATTCCATGATTAAGCTTTTCAAAATATTATGAAAGAATATTATTCTATTATTAAAATTTTTAGGTACATTTTCATTATTAAATTAACCTCTTTTTAGAGCCTTCGATACTATTAATATATATTTTTATTTAGTAATTTTATATATTTTTCCATATTTTTATATAGTTGTTTTAATATTTTAGTGTTTTATCAATTTTTTTTAAAAATTATATTAAATAAAAATTTTAAATTTGGAAATAATGATATATTAATTCATCTTTTTACCTTCAAATGCTTTTTTAAGTTTGAACTACTGGACATTGAGGTTGAAATATTTTTGTTGGGATAAAATTTACATTTACAAAGTGTAGAGTTGGTATCATTAATTTTCTTTATTGGTTTAAATATTTCAAATTGGGGCCAGGGAAGGGTTAAACATCTTCATCTGAAGAAGCAAGTACTATGGACATTATATTCTTAAAATAAATTATAAGAATTAATATCATTATTAACATTTACTTTGAATTTTGATTGAATATTAATTTCGACAGAAAATTTAACAACGAGAATTTAAAATAATATTGAAGTAAATATGAATTAAAACCTTAAATTATTTATATTAAGAATTAAAAAATAATAAAAGTAATTTTATAATACAATAAAAATATGTTTATTGTTGATATTTTTTTAAGCGAAAATATAAAGTAACGAGTAACGTTTTACTTACCGTTACTCAAAAAAAAAGAAACGCGTTACCGTTACTCGTTACCACTAGAAGAAGGTAACGAATGGCGTTCCTTTTCTTCAAAACGTAAAGTCATTAGTAACGACCTTACTTTTTTGATGTTACTTCACAGCACTAGTTAAAAGTTTTTAATATTACAAAGTTGTTCTAAATTTTATGTTTATAAAGAAATTAATAGTGCCATTTTTTTTAACTCCATGCATGAAATGTAAAGTTTTTGATATTATAAAGATTTTTAAAATATTGGATCTAGTAATAAGGTGCCATTATATTTTATTCCACGAGGAAAATTTTTATTTTAGATCTTTGTTTTAAGCCTATTTAAAAAATTTTGATATTGGAAAGATGTTTTAAAACCTTTGGGTTCAGTAAGTATAATTTCTAATTCTATTATTACTCATTAACTCTACACGTAAAAATCTGTAAATATAAAAAAATTATTTACTTGTTTTCAGCCCAGTAAAATGTTTTTGATGTTAGAAAAATATTCTAAATCTTAGGGTGTAAAAGATTGATACTGCTATTATATTTTATTCTTATTTTTTACTTCAGCTGAGTTTAAAATTTTTGATATTAGAAATGAGTGGTATATTATTTGAAACTCTTAACCTATTTTAAAAATGCGTATTTTGCAACTATAAGCTTTATTAATTTTATAAATTCTTAAGTCTCTATTTTTTAAATGTTAAATAAATATTTATATCAACTCCAATAACTATTATAATTTTTGTTTAATGTAAGCATAATATTTAAATTTAATCTCTCCAATAAAGCTTCAAAAATGTTAGTTAGGAGGTTTTATAATGAATATTTTGTATAATTAAGTATTTATATTTAACTTCTTAGCTCATTCTAAATACTAACAGATATTAAATTTGATTCGTTATAACCTTGGCAACTAATCAACAAAAAAATGACCCTATAGCTATGGGTCTAACACCTCCATGTTTTTAAAGAAACAAGACGTGCACCAAAAAGAATTGTGCGTTGGCTAATGAGTTTAATAAAGGGTCAATAAAACCATTCAAAGCATTGGATTAAATCAACAAAAAACCTGGTTTGAACCCATCTAAACCAGCTGTCGTCCCTTTTTTAAAAAACTTCAAGCACTTGGAACTTCATCACATATAAAGGGAATAGGAGAAGAGTCATGCGGGTAAATGTTGGAAGGGGGCGCCAATGGATGTTTGAGAAGTTATTGAAAAATAGTAGTGTTGATAGGAGAAATAATATCATCAGAAGTCTAAAGTCGGGGAGCACCGCTAATATCTCCAAGGTCTAATTTTTCAGAGATCGTAAATTCTTCAATAATGGTTATCAAAATTGGACACTTTCTCCTTAATTGAGGCTGATAAATTATTTATTTTATTTTGGGGTTTATTCGAAAACAAAAACTAATCAATGCCAGGCATAAGGGTGTTGAGAAGAAATCTGAATTCAATTATTTATAAGAGACGTGAGGAACTTTGAAATTGATCCTCGGGGTGCTATAGGTATTCTAGATAGAACTGGAGCTTATGTGAAAAAAGAAATAAATTAACAGAGCTTGAAGAAATATCATCAGGACTGGGGTCACGTAAGTGAGACCATATTATCGGACATATTATTGTACTTGTGGAACAAGGGTGGGGGGGGGAGTTGTAATTGTATGTTTAATTTATTTATAAAACACCTAACTGTGTTTGTTTTTTCCCATTTATAGCATGATATATGAACATATATACATAGCCATAAATAATTAATATAAAATAATAATTTAAAAAAATTCATTGGCGATAAAAATAGCAAATTCAAAATTAAATTAAATAAAAAATAAATCATACTGTGCAAAAAGTAAAATATCATTCAAATAAGAGTCATCGGGCTTAATTTTTAAACCCCTGCCCGGCCCTAAATTTAAAAAAAATTTATCCTGTCAGGCCCGATCCCGAACAAAATTTTTTTTATTTGTCCCGAAAAGCTTGATCCAAAATAAAGATTATTTCTCCGTCCATCTCAAATTTATTTAAATAGATAAAAATTTATTTTTTTATAGTAAAAAATAGAATATTAGCGCCTTGTTTCATACAAGATGAAAATTAAATTAATCCAATTTGAGATTGTGATTTTAGCCAAGTTCAAAATCAATAATTAACTATATTATGCATTTTTAAGTTTTTTTACTATGCCTCTTCCTTAGAATATTTATAAAAAATTAAAACCAGTATACTGTTAAAACTTATATATTACTTCAATAAGATTTTGTATTCTAAGATAGTATTCTATATTATTGGCGGCAGTCGCTAACATCTATAAATATTATTATATTCAAAAAGTATGAAAAATAACTTGCAATATTTAACTTACATTTTTTTTTCAGATATAGCGGCCATTTTTTGTAGACGTTAAAAAACATACTCTATTTATGCTTTTTATGCTATTTAGTGGTCAACCGATAAATTGGCACTGTTATTATATATTATTCCACGAGGAAAAAAATAAGAAAACTTTTAAACGTTGTTTTAAACCTAGTTAAAAGTTTATGATACTAGAGAAATGTTCTAAAACCTTTGCGTCTAGTAATAAATTGGCACTGCTATTGTATTTTGCTCCACGAGGAAAAAAAATTATGAAAATTTTTTAAAATTTTTTTTTAAGCCTAGTCAAAAGTTTTCGATACTAAAAGGATGTTCTAAAACCTCTGGTAGCAATAAATTGGCCATGCCATTATATTTTTTTCCACGAGGAAATATGAAAATTTTAAAAAAAAATTATTTTAAGTCTTGTTAAAAGTTTTTGATAGTAAAAAGTTGTTCTGAAATCTCTGGGTCAAGTAATAAATTGGCACTGCCATTAAAAATTCACAATTATTTTTCCTCGTGGAGTAATAATGACAGTGCCAATTTATTACTAGTCCAAAAGTTTTTAGAACATCTTGCTAGTATCACAAGCTTTTAACTAGGTTCAAAAAGTTTTAAAATATTTTCCTTTTTTTCCTCGTGGAATACAATATAATGGCAGTACCATATCACTAGAACCAAAGATTTTAGAACATCTTTCTAATATCAAAACTTTAAACCCAGATTAAAACAAACTATTTTAATTTTCTATATATTATGTTGATCCAACAGCCAACCCATCGAACCCGATAAATCGGCTTAGCAGGCTCATGGGAAGGGTTGCGTCGTGGTCGATTTTTCGACCTGACTCAGGGTTGGGTCGATTTCTACGACTTTGAGTCGGGTTCTGGGTCGAAAAAACCAATCATTTAACAAAACTAGATGAAACGAAGATGGTAAAACCTGATGGCTTTCAAGGAAATAGTAATATTTTTATAAATTAATATTAATTTGTTATTTATTATTAGTTATGTTTCTTAATCCTAATATACCAGTTGTAATTGACAAAATATGCCTGTTTAATGAGAGATCTGTATTATTATTTAATTATGCATACTTTTAGATGTTGAATTCATAGTAGAGGCTGTAATTTCCGAGAAAGATGAAACAAATCTTTTTCTTTTTACCAAAAGAAATTGGTAAATTAATCATTCTGAGCGATTTCATTTCGCGATCACGATAAGATATCCAAAATATCATAATGGTGTGATGGGAGAGAAATTTTCCACCAAGTCGATTATTCGTGATGAAAATTATCTGTTCAGGTATATATATTTACAATAAATTGTTAATCATTATTATAGATGTATAAGCAAAGAAGTTTGTGATGTCCAGTATTAGCCGGCTTGAGCCTAAGCCAATATTTGGCTCCGACCTCGAGGTAGGAGCCGTAAAAACTCGGCTTTTTAACAACACTACCAAAAATGATTGAAATATTACAGATTTATTTGATGAAGTGGCGTGCAAATCTCTTTATACTTATGCTATATTGAGTTTATAAAAAGCATTGGCCACTTATGATCCCTGCTTAGTGATAATTAATATTAAAGTCATATATTTTTATTTAGTACCTATATCAATATTTTGTGTTGGAAAAAATATTCCTGACCCCTCAAAACCTAGAGCCGCAGACATAATTATTATTACAATCAAAAGATATTTTCATTTGATATGGACAGGGTTTCAAATAGAACCGCCAAACTGGAATAACCCGTTAAAATTTTCTGAACCGTAACCGAACCGTTATAATTTTCTGAACTGTAACCTAACCGTTATAAAGAAAATATAAAAAGAGCGATCGAACTGTTATAAATATTTTAAACCGGTTTTAAAAAATAATTAATTTTAAATTATTATAACCTAAATTTAAAATTTTTATTTTGGACCCAATAACTATAGGATTGAGTGGAAATCTAACTATCAATTCGGAAAATATACGCAATAGTATTAAAAAAATGGCGTTTGATTTTTCGCAAAATAGAATATCAAATACTTATTTCGTTATGTTGTAATATTACAAAAGGATTTATTATTCAAATCGTGATAATATTCAAACAAAAATGTTTTATTAAAATTGTTACTTTATTATTTAAGCAAACTATGCAAATGAGAGAAAACGCGTGATAAACAATTGGAGTTGTTCATTATTTTTATTTTTTTTAGTTAGAAATTTCTTATTTTTTTTAGTTAGAAATTTCTTATTTTTTTAGTTAGAAATTTCTTATTTTTTTTACTTTTTCTAATATTATTTTATTTTTTGAAAATTTTTCCTTTTATGTTTATAATTGATTAATTTATATATAATTTAGTAAAGAAATTAAAATTTGTATTTAATTTAAATTTTCTTTTAATTTATTTTTAGGTACAAATCTTGTGTACTACACGTTAAAATTAGATATAGTAACTAAATATGATAGGTCCATATTGAGGATCAACATTCAATTTATAAATAACGGAAAAATAAAATTAAAAACTATATGCATGAAAGAGATAGAAGGACTACACACATCAGAATATCTTAAAATTTTTTTTAGATGTTCTAAAAGAATATGAAATAGAATTGAGCAAATTTACACGATAACCATCGATAATGCAGCAAATATGATTAAATTAATTATGCTATTAATACATCACGATAGCCTTATATTTAAATAATGATGATAAAGATAATTTCAATAATAACTTTATAATTGATGATGAAAATAAAGAACCTTTTAACATTGAAAATATTAATCTTGTACCCATACCAGATCCATATTAAAGGGCATTAGATGTGCCTCACATATATTTCAATTCAATTAATGATTGCATTAATAATTCAAATGAAATTGTCATTATAAATAAAGCAAGAAATGACACAACAATGGTGATTCTGTCTATATTAAATTTGAAAAAACCACTAATAGATTGTTGCAAAAGATGGAACTCAATTTATTTAATGTTGGAGAGATTACTAGAGTTAAACTTTTGCTAAGAAATATAGCTACAAAGCAATGATTGTGAAAAATATTTATCAGAGAATGAATGGAAAATCAGCTTATTTTTTGACAAAATATATACAAAGTGAACAATTGATAATGGACGATTTTTATGCCGCGTGGATTAAATGTATCATGCAAACGAGCGAAGTAGACACTCCATTTGCCAGAATTTTAGTTTTTACGGTAAAAGCACAAGACATAAATTTGAAAAATGGCATTTATAACTCAGATATATATCTTGACTAAAGATATATAAATGTAATTTAACATTTGAGGAAAAAGATAATCTTTCTAAAACTTGAAACTTAATACAAAATTTAAATAATAAGAATATTGAAATTCTAGATACTATGCCTATGTGTTCACATTCGAAAGATAATTTAGCTGATGATTTATTAAAGTCGCATGAAAGCCTTAATAAAAATAATTCTCAGGGCATAAATTATTATAATAAATGTATAGAATTAGAATATATAAAAAAAAGATACTAATCTTATGAATTATGAGAAAATGTAAAGAATAGTATGCCAAAACTTTATAAGTTAGCTATAACTGTGCTAACAGTTCCAGCTATGCAGGTATTTTTTTTATATATAAAAAAAATTAATTTTAATTTATATCTACTATATTTAATAAAAATATCTATTAGATTATCATGGTTAGATTAAATAAGAATATAAATTAAAAAGATTTTTTTCTAAGATTAATATATATAGTTTATGATTAATATTTTTTTAAAATCATATTTATAAAAACCGGAACAGACCGAAACGAACCGTTACAAATTATAAACCTAACCGATATGAATTTTTTTAAAACCGAAATGGAACAAAACCTTTATAAAATTTTAAACTAAAAAACGAATCGAACCGCTATAATTAACGGTTCGAAACCCTAGATATGGATACAAATTTTATTTTTTATTACCCCCCAACCTATATGTACCCCCCCCCCTACCAGACCATATCCTAAAGTTATTAATAAATTTCGAATCCGGAGAATTTATGTATAAAAATAAAACAGGATCTAACAATTTCAGATTTTTCAAAAAATTTAATAGGCTTACCCCAGGCTTTAACATTTTGGTAAATATTTTTGAATTTCAAGCTAATATTTTGATTAACACTATTTGAAAATAAATTACAAATGCTTATTTCTTTGTAATTTAGAGCTTTCTAACTAAAATATTAAGTCTATAAATAAAAATATAGATGCATTGTTTATCATTTCTGATTGTAATTTATTTTAAACAACTTAAATTGAATTTATTTATTAACATGTATAAATAGCGTTGAAAGAGATAAAGGCTTGGTGATGATGTAAGAAAAATGAAGATATTGCATCGTAAAATTACAAAGCAATTAGATTTATAAATTTGCAAGAGAGTAAACACCCCCATTATAACTATAATATAATACGAATTCTGTATAAAACTTTTAAAAAATTAGTTGACAACTTTTCTTTAATGTTTCATGGTTCAATGTTAAGAAGCGACAAAATATAATATAATTAATTCATGCATTGAGATTTAGGTAACTATGCCAGAATAGAATTTTTTTAAATATTCATATTAAAATTATATAACAATTTCATAATGTACAAATAAATACAGAGTTTCCGATAGAATCACAGGGAAAATTAATTTAATCGTAACAAACAGTGATTAAATTAAGGAATAATTTAATCGTAACAAACAATGATTAAATTAAATAAAGTCTATGACTTTTTATCCCACCCCCACCAGTGGAGGAGAGCGCAAAAAAATTCAATCTAATTTGAACTATACTAGATTGAATATTTTAAAACAAAAAACAACACATTGTTTGGACCATCATTGATAAGTCCAAACAATCAACATCACACGTAAAGCCAAAGCTGGTAAGTCCTATCCCTTTGCATTTATGAATTTCTATTGAGATTAATATAATTCTTGGTTAGTAATTATGATTAATGTAGTGTATCTTTATTATTAACATTATCTAATTGGAAGGGTTGATAACGGGGATTTATTAAAATTAAAACTCGTTTGTAGTAGAGAGGAGGGAGTTAATTATATTGTAATGATTGTTATTGAATATTTATAATTAATTTTATGAAAAAAATATGAAGCTATAATAATTTATATATTTTTTAATTAAGCTTAGATTATTAATAGAAAAAATTTACTTAGGATATCAATTAACAATGAAAAATTTATATTACTTAAAATGAATCCCCAAATGATCATATGAATATATATATCAAACGATGAATAGGTTCAATGTAATAAAAAGCATTTTCAATCATTTGTGATAAGAGTATGGATGAAATTTCAATTTTTTTAAAGGTATAGAAATTATTAATGTTATGGATGCATATGTTTAGATAAATAATATTTAGTCGTAAATCGTTTCAAGGGAGGGGGTAATATTTCAAGAGCGAGATTAAAAATAAAATATGCGAAACCGACCAGTAAGAATGAACAAACAATGATGAAAGGGTGGACTATACTTTCCAAAAAATATACCCAGAGCACAATATTCCTAATATAAAAAAAATCGCAAAAAATAGGGACATATGATGGGGAAAGAGGAATTGTAGGGGAAGGGGAACCTGGCAAATATATTATGAATATGTATTATCTCCATATCGATTTCTCAAAACTGAAAAGGGACGTTGCCAGGGTTATTACTACCTTGGTTACCAGCGACCATCATGTTATTGTCTTGACCTTCCGTGTTGAAATTGAATGCCTGATCTCCGGCCGAAGGCGCGAAAGTTTCGATGTCATCATCTTCAGATCCGAAATACTTTTCAATAAGAGCCAAAGATTTTTTGTAGATGTTCACGTTTTCGTGGCTTTGCAAAAGCTCGATTTTGTCCAAACCTAATTTAGATATACATATTTTAAATCAACAATTGAATAAGAGGATAGTATTTATTCATTTGATATACTTAAAAAAGGGACAAATTGATTGATGCTATTAAAAATAGTTTAATACCTTCACATTCTTCTACTTTGATAGAATAATAGTTAGGATGCCCGTTCATGGTAAATTCTCGCTCACCCAGAGCTAATATGTTTTCCAGTCCGTTCAAAGCCACTTGTATCATCTTGATATCCATGACGGATAACAAATTGCATAATTGCGGTATTGCTCCTTGTTGTACAATGTACCTGATATAATAAATTGTTAAATTTGAATAATAAGATCATATTATTGACCTTATTTAACTGTCTTTAATTAGTTTTTGCAGGTAATTAATCAGCATAGTTATTCAAATTCAGTATTAAGCATTAATACAGAAGTAAAATAAAAACAATTATGAGTAATTAAATATGTATGTGTATATCTCACCACAAATTAAAGAAAAAATTAATTTTTTGTAAAAGACCATTCCTTTTATGCATAATCAACAAAAAGAAAACTATATAACGTCGGTCAGACTGCAAAATCTCGTAAATGACCTTTTTAAAATTGTTCAGGAGACATAAAACATTTTTGTAAAATTTCTATTTTAATTAAGAAAATATTAATAATTTGATAAAAACATGTTTCAAATTATGATAGTTTTTACGTATTTTATGAGTCCTTATAGATGTAAGCATGTAAGGTAAATACCGGAGAAAATGATATATTTTCCTTGGGAAAACTCCCCATTTAGTTTATAAATATATGGTAATTTCTGTTTATTTTTCCGGTTTGTTTATCTGTTATCATTTTTATCTTCAGCCAAATTTTGAATATATGACCAAACATTATCTCATTCTCATTACATCAACTTACACTATACATTATTTCATATTATATAACTTGTGAGTTCGCCATATTGTAAAATATGGTAATATTTTTAACAGTTTTGGCCATTTTCCGATCGTTATGTTATAAATACAAATTTTAGAGATAAATATAAATAATATAATTAATCAACATTTTTCAATGTTCCTTTTTTATATATTTATTATGGCTTCAAGTTTGTTATTTCTAATATTTGTGGATATGATTCCCTATAAGTGGTCAACCTGAAAATTGCCATTAAACGGAGAAGAAGAAAATTCAAATTTAATGGTGATTTAAAACATAATTTCTCTTTCTGATCAAAAAAAATTAATTCCGAATGTGCTCAATTTTACAAACAATACAATTTTTTTTAAATAATAGAAAATAAAAGTTTATACGAGAATGTTGAAGCTCGTATAAACCCTTTGATCTTTATTTTTTATACGAGGCAGTTAAAAAATCTTTCCTGGTGGCATTTTTTAAATCAAAGCAAGGTGGGAGGCCAGAATTTTTAAAAAGCTAAAAAAAATTTAAAAAATGATTAGAAAATATTTTCTATACCTCTTGATTTTTTAACAGCCAAGCAGAATATGAAAAATATATTAATATTTTTTGGGCCACCGGCTGTTATATTTTATTGATAATGTTATTGTCAGCGCGACCGGTGGGCCAGCCCTGCAGAGCTCCACTATATACCTCAATGTATTAAAAAAATGTTTTTAATATTTTAGGTAAAGATACACAAATTATCCCTTTTAAATGACTTTTTTCAAAAAGCGTCAATTAAAACTTTTCTATTTTGTTTGTTAATTAAACCTGCAAAAGAAAACAATCTTTATCGTGTTATACCAGAAACACCTCATTTGCTGGATACTTATATAAAATATTCAGAGTTGTTAAAGGATCGAATCTTAGATCGCCGATCCTGGATTCGATCCTAAATTTGTCAATTTTCTAGGATTTAAGATCCTGACCTTAAATTGTGGATCGTGATAGAGATCATTTTTTTAAATATTCGATCCCGATCCTTTTAACAATTATTTTTTACTTAAAAAGCAAAAAATAAAAATTTTGAAAATTAAATTTAAATATTATTTAAAAAAAATATCTATCTACATCATATTTTATCAACCACCATTCCACCAGATTTTATATTTCAACAATTTCTTAAATTTTTTGTAAGAACAAGTTATACTTATTTATTAATTATTTTATACTTATTTATTAATTATTTTATAATATAAATTCTAGGTTTAAATAATGTCCTCCATTATTGATTTAGAAGATGATACATATACTTCTATTGATGTGACAGCAGATATAAGTGAGAATGATAATCTTTTTCCATGTATTTTACTTTATGTGAAACGGATGGAAGCAGCCATACAATGATCTATGCAAAATGCTCTTTATGCTTCAAGGATTAGTAGTTCAAACCTAAAGAGGCATTTAGAAGTAATTAATTCTTTTAAAAATATAATTTTTATTATTTGTGAAGATCATAACAATATGCATATAATAAAAATTATAGATTTCCTACACTATATATGATGACAGTAATATATTGGCATCAATAATTCACCCAAAATTTAAGCTCAATTGGCCTTTTATTAATCTGCCGCAAAATTTGTTGCTAAAAGAAAAATTTTGCCCATTTAGAAAATATACAGGGTCAACCATATGTAGATCCTTCAAATGTATGCATGGATCGATACCTTTTTTGGGGAAAATTCGTCACAAAATGCTCTTTCCATTAATAATTTTTATTATTCTAATGATGATTCAGTGAAAATTTTTAATAATTATGTTAACCCATTAATGGTCAAGATTTTTCTAGTTGATAAAAATGCTCAATTTTTTCAAATTATGTTGATTAATGCTCAAATATGATTTTCTAAAAAAAATCAGCCGAAAAAAATAATCATAAATAGAAAATCTAGCCTGGGGCATATCTGCACCGTTGAGAGGTTAAAAAAGATAAAAATTAGGTATAATACTATAAGATCAAAAAACAATAGAAATCTTTATTCTTTTTTTGTAATTTATAATAAAAACGAGAAAATGTTTATATATTATGAAAACCCTTGAAACATTTAGTATGAAGTGTGATTTGACATGTTTGGCACATATATTTTGAATGTTACGTCTTTTTCCATCTATAATTTTGGATAAATAATTTCCAGATGAATCAGTAGGGTTTTCGCTCTGTAATGCAAACTGGTTTGCGTTTATACTTAAATTTTTTTCAATTTTTATTGGTGGTCAAATGAAGTAGTAACTTCTCGCCTAAATGCAAGCAATCTCGATTCATGAATTTCCTAATTTTTCACGAATTTACCAAAGATATATCGATAAAATTTGTGAATATTGGCCACCGCCATTTTTTCCCTCTTTTTCTTTAGTAGATATGGGATTATCACACAGATCATCCATGTGCTCGTGAGATCACTTAGAAGACTTTGCATTTTATACCTCATACATTTGCCATGTTTGAGGGCTTCTTAGGGACATAAAAAAAATTTTTCATATTTTTCTTTTCCAGTTTTGAGGTATAATGTCTAAACTATATAAAAACCTTTTTTATTATTTTTTAAAATAAAAACTACTATGTTTAAAAATGATATACAGGAGGTGGTGTATATATATGCACCGTTAACCAGTAATGGGTTAATTTAAAAAAAACATTTATTGAATATAACACACCTATACCATCAAGGTTTAGTAAGCTAAACATATACTAAATGAAAAACGTGGTTGTTTAAATGATGATAATTTAGAAAAAATTTTATTACACTATGTGACAAATTTCGACTTGATTTTTTGGGAGAAAATAAAATAAACATGTTTTAAAACAGTTTTTTATGCATATTCTAAATCCGCTATCAGTTTTTTTCTAGCACGTCAGCTTTTTTTATTTATTTTAGGTTAAAGTGGCCAAAAAGGTCATTTTTAATAACTTCGGTTCTAATGATCCCAACAACTAAAAAAATATCTTAATTTTTGCAGCAAACCTTCCTTATTATTATTATACATTTTTTTTTATAAAATCCTTACTCAATTTTTAAATTTACCTTTATTTATAAAATCTTTTTTAATATAGCTTACTTTACGCGATTTTTTTCAAGAAAGTTGGACGATCCTCCCATTCAGATACTGTATAATGTTTTAGAGTTTCTCTGGAATTCCAGAGACAAAGAAAACACGAATGCTTGGTCTAGCCTAACTGAAGGCCCGTCAGGATTGCGATCATTTTGAGATCGCAGCATATCTTAAATTCGTAAATGGAATAATTTATTTTTGACAATAAATATTTCATATTTTCATAATTCATTTAACTGGTTGGAATAAACCATGGGAATTGATGGCTTAAAATTTCCGTTATGAAGCAAACCTGCTTTCAAGCTGTTTTTGCTTGAAGATGAACAAGCGTCATTCATCGGGCACCAATTCAATATTAAGTTGTAAAAAAGTTGACCTAGATTGTTGGAATAGTATAAAAAATTTTCGAGAATAAATTTTTAAACGATGCTCCACGGAATCGGTATGAAGTTCGAACTCCATTTTTTTAAATTTTAAAATCATTAAGCCTTGAGGCTAAAAATTCGTTATTTCTTTTTAAGTTGTAAATTTGTGGTTATGTCATTTAGTTGCTCTTGTGACATAAATGGCGAATCCTCTTCGGGATGATACTCAAGATCAATATTGTCATTGTCCTGGCAACGTAATTTTTCCAGGTGCGAACTATTAAAAAAAGGAACTGTTGTATGCATATTATATTTTACCGGATAAACAACCGACTTTCAGGATAACGAATTTTCTTCTTATTTTTTTTGTTAAACCCAAATGTACTAATCGAGCAAAAATAACAATCCCACGAATGATTTCTTGCTACGTGCCAAAATGCAGGTTTCGAATAAGGCAAATATGACCGTTTACCATTTACCCATGAATTAAAAGAATTATAACATGTTTTACATATGTAATTAGGGGCAAATGGTTTATCCAAATCGCAGAGTGGAATATTGTAATAAATTTCATAAATCCTTTGAATGATTGGAGAAATTGGACATTTTTTAGCCCGCACAGATGTAACAAAATTTAAAGACACACTTTGAACAAGGGGACCTCGGCATTAATTTTTTGTAGAATATTATATAAGGAGGGAATATTTAAAATCCAATTTTAAAAAAAAGAAAGAAATTAAATTTTTATGAAAAATTAAGCGCGAAAAAAATAATTCTTCTCCTTTCTTCCTACTCATTATTTGGCATTATTATTTATTGCCCATACTACGGGTTCAAGGTACTCCATTGGAAAATCATATATTTTGATATAAATTGATTAAAAAACAAATATTCTTAAATACATCTAAAAAAGATAAATATTAATATAAAAT